CGTAAAAGAGGGAGTTTTGTTCTGCCACGTGTTGCACTCTTGCCAGCCTTCCCAAAACGACGTCGTTTGGCTTAAAATCCCTATACACATATAAAAGAGTCAGTTTTGCCACGTCCACCAGAAAGAATGGCCCATATACCAGTTAGATATAAATAATGCTTTCTTGCACGGTTTTCTGGATGAAGAGCTTTATCTGTTGCCTCCAGAAGGATATAAAAAGGTTAAGGAAGGTGAAGTGTGTAAGCTAAAAAGGTCACTTTATGGTTTAAAGTAGGCTAGTCGACAGTGGAATTCAGAATTTTGTAAACATTTACAATTATATGGTTTCACACAGTCTGCACACGATAATTGCCTTTTCATTCTCCGTTCAGAGCATACCATCACAATCCTTCTTGTGTATGTAGATGATGTACTCATCACTGGAACAGATACCAATGAAATTCAGAAGGTCAAGTGCTTTCTTGACAATACCTTCACCATAAAGGATTTAGGACTTGCTAAATATTTCTTGGGGATAGAAATAGCACGTTGCTCAGACGGTATGTACCTCAATCAAAGGAAATATGCTATGGACATTATCTCTGATGTTGGTTTAATGGGATCAAAACATGCGGATATCCTATTGCCAAAAGGTCATAAGTTTACTGCTGATGGTATTGCTTATCAAAAGCCTGATCAGTACAGAAGGCTTATGGGTAGATTGCTTTATCTTAATCTTACTAGACCACATCTTTCTTATGCAATCCAGCAGCTAAGTCAATTTGTTAACTCACCAACAAATTCGCACTGGGAATTTGCATTGCATTTACTGAAGTATATCAAGGGGACTATGTCAAAACGCCTTTTCTTCCCTTCCTCCAACAATTTTAAGCTTGCAGCTTACTGTGATGCAGATTGGGCCTCTTGCCCTGATTCCAGGAAATCCTTGACTGGTTATTGCATTTTTTGGATGGTGCTCTTATCTCCTGGAAATCAAAGAAACAGCAAATTGTTTCACGAAGTTCTGCAAAGGCTGAATATCGAAGTATGGCTATGACAGTTTGTGAAATTCAATGGATCACTTATCTTCTTCAGGATTTTTGCATCAAACTTAGTCTTCCAATTCCTCTCTCGTGTGATAACCAGGCTGCTCTCCATATCAGTGCCAACCCTGTTTTTCGTGAGCGCACGAAGCATCTTGATATCGATTGTCATGTGGTTCGCAATCAATACAAGGTTGGCTTCATTCTCCCGCAACATGTTCCTTCCATCTCTCAGATTGCCGATGTGTTCACTAAGTCTCTTCCACCTTCTCAATTTAGGTTCTTACTTTCCAAATTGGGTTTGTTGGACTTCCATCAATATCAAACTTGAGGGGTGGATGTACGAATTCTTCACAAAATTATTCCTCAAGGACTGAATTGCTCATCTTACACAGTTTTAGGTCCTTCTTTGTAATAAGGATAGTTTGTTTTCGTTTCTCATTTTCCCTCTTTTCTTCCTTCTATAAATACATTTCAATTGCTGTATTTTGATTAAGTGAGTAATCAATAAAATCTTTGATTCAATTCACTCGAACAGATTCTCTTACAAGCTACAAGCTCTTTTTAAATAATTTGTGCACCTATCAAAGCCCCTATTTGAATTTCATTAAAATGAGATTTTAGGGAAAATGTATTTTGAAATAGTGGTTTTTTTAGAATGTGTAGTTAAAAATAAGGAAAAGTTTTAAATTTATATGTAACATTATTTTAGGAGAGAATTGATGATTAAAAATGAGTTTTCATATTTCTAGAAAAATGGAACCCAAACCAAACATGAGCAAAGTTTATTCTGACAAAAATTGACTGATCAGTGCTCATTCACCAAAATTTGTTTCTATTCTTTGCTCGTCCATATATTTACTGCATCTCTTGTT